TCAAATCCAGATTTTTAAATCAAATCAAATTCAAATAAGCCTAATATTTGATTTGATTTGATTTTGAGGAACCCTAACCGTCACTGGTGCACTCAAATTCACTAGTCCTATCGACTCTTGTTGGTTTGTTCTACATGTTTAGTATTTTGTTATGATCCTATCACCTGTGATTCCTTGAACGATGGTGACCAACAATGAAGCAAAAGACTAAGTTCTTTGTTAAATGATTTTTACCAAAACTATTTTGTTGTGTAGAGTCACTAAAGGATCGTTACATATTATTGGGCATAAGATTACCCAATTACATATATTAGACCATTTTTATTTTATGAATTCCTTTCATGACAGGATTTTAGAAAACCACACCTTAAACTATTATATTAGAATAACAGTACGTATTCGTTGATGGCACTTATCATTTTTCATTATAAATTACAAATGTTTATTAATTATGACGATCTACCTCAATTAATAAATATGATTACCATAATAATACCTAAATAAGCAAAAACATGATAACCATAACACGTTCTAAAATAGGAAAAAATATTGGTAACAACGGAACCATCCTTCCTACATTTCATGTAATTGACTGGTATAATTATACCCTGGTCACTATATCAAGATCGCAGGGCATAAATCAGTTATACCCTGGGCACTATGTGTATAAGCGGGAATTTCATCCCCACTTATACCCAACTGCCCAGGATATAACTATTACTTACATAGTATGTATGTAAATTCGGGGTCGACCATTAATTAATGTACTATGGTAATCGAGTAATTGAGTATTCACAGTATTCATCAAAATAATTTTATCTGCCATTTTTAACCACTTCGAAAACAGTGATAATTAGTAGAATTTTGGTTTGGCTGTGTCAAATTCATGTTACTGCACTTTTTGTGGTCACCCAGGATGATCACAGTAAAATGCCTTCCATAAATGTATAACCTCTCTAAATGCACATTTTAAAACTTTTGCCTATAGTCCCAAGGAGGTACATTTACGGATGGTTGGCTTTATTCAAAATAAGCTTTTCAAGTTCATGATTATTTAATATTTAATTTCATTTAATACTGCAGTGAATATAAGGAACATTTATTAATCTAAGCATTTAAAATAAGATATTCAAGTTTGCGAATATTACTATTTAATTTCATTTTATTCCGATGTATAAAAAACATTTATTAATAAAACAAAAATAAAAAAATAAAAAAAAATCAAAAAAATCAAAAAAAAAATAAAAACAAAAAAATAAAAATAAAAAAATACATTCAAAGTATCTTGAGGCTTAATTATAAATCTTTATTGCTTCCTTATCAAGCTTAAAAATTTTGCCACTCTTTTGTTTGCCTTATTACTATAAAATGTACTGTTGAACCCCGCTAAACCCGATAACCTGTTAAATCTGATAATAGATTAGTCTATTAAGTACGTCTCTGCTATCTATTATAAATCTAATAGGTTATAATGTGATACCTTTCAATACAGATATAAAACTTGCCCACCTTACATATCAATTTGGGAGGTTCAACAGTAATTGTTTAGTTTCTTTGTCCAAAAAATTTAGTCAATATAATTTTAACGACTCATATAAGTATTTTAAGTATAAAAGCTTATAATGAGATAAATATTAATTAACTTGTCATAAAAAGTGCCAACTTAAACAACAATATTTATGGATAATTATATTTAAGGGAAGGAAGACCCAGAAATCATCGGCGTTAAAGATTGAGTTCTCTGTGGTGGCGGATTTTCTATACCTTGTGTTTCAAAGAATTCTGTGCCTTCAACTAAGGCTGCGTAATATTGAACGGCAATGGAAGTACTGTTGAATAGGTTCTGAGGTCTTAGAGGCTGCCTGCCAATATTTAAGGCTCCTTGATATTGGGCATTACCATTTTGTAGACCACCAAAATTCTGAGACCTTTGTAACTGGACATTATTGTTTCGCAATTGAACGTTAATAATTTGAGCCGTGGTATTGTTCATATTTGTATAATTTTATATTTATTTTTTTTTTTTGAATAGTATTAAAAAAAATATATATATAGTGTTGGATTTAAAACAAGGCCGGACAAACGAGTGTATTTATACTTAATGAGTTATTCATGAGCAATTGGTTAATAATTATTACTACGCGTAAATTTACACAATTAGACACATTAAAAGAATAAAAATATAAAATTTGACATGGAAGCACTGGAAATTAAAAGAAGCCTAATACATTAGGTATAATTTTTTCTACAGCGTTTTTGCTCACCGAGTATATTTTATTTTAAATTATCATAAAAAATCCAAATCTATTGGAAAGATAATTCAATGTTTGTTTTTTGTTCTTGTGACATTAGATGTAAGTAGCAAATTAAAAACAAACATAGTACGGATAATAATTTAGTAAATTTTACTAATTAAGATTTTTCTCGAAAGAATCGACTGGTTACCGGTTGCCAATATGAGTACACGGCTGAGAGTTTATATCGTATAGTGTAAAAATTCGAAATGCCTACACAATTTGTGTTTATAACAGGCAGTCTAGATTTTTAAAAATAACCACATTTAATTAAAGAAGATCCTGCAATTTGCACCCG